TGGTTAGGGCCTTTGTGAATTAAGGTAACGATATGTAGGCTCTGACTTACCTCACTTGCTGCTACCTTTCAAACATTGCTGTAGTTTTTGTAAGCAACCACGCATGCGATTATCCTCGCCAGCGCCGCGTTTTTGTTCGACCACACGCACCTCAGCTAGCAAAAACTCCATGATCTGCAAAATCGTTTCCGGTGTAAATTGCGCTAGCCGCTGCAACAGCTCAAAGAAGAAAAATGTATAGTAGGCCAGATGCTTTTTGGTAAGCAGCCGTAAGTGCTCCGCCAGCAGAGCCTGTAGCGCAGTTGAACGCTTGTAAGTGGAGCAGGTGACAATGCGTTTGAAGAGATCCAGCAGCAGCGCACGGCTGGGCACTACTTCGTCTACCATCATGATGTGTTCGAGCATGACCAACGATGTGGCTTTCATCAAAGTCTCCAAACGCGAAGTTGAAATATCGATTGCGCTGCTACTGGCGTCTATTGACTCGACCACCTCTTGAAAAATGGTCACCACTAGACAGGCGTTCGGATCGGCTTGTCGGCGCTGGGTAGCTAAAAATAGGCTTGTAAGCTTTTCGAACACAAACAAAGACAGCTCCGCATTGTCGCTTTGAAGGCAGCTAACAAAAGGTCTGGCAACGGTTTTAGCGTTTGGTGAAATTTTGAAATGCGGAGTCCACTTTTGTATTAGATCTGTTAGCGTTTTGCTGATGTACGGATCAGCTTTGAAGTTGAGTCTTCCAATACCCTGCACCAGCACCGGCCAAATTTTATGTATCAATTGCGCCAACTTGCCGTCCGGTGCTTTTCCCATTTGCACATTGGTGGGCAACACAAAGCGCGTCATGACCACATGAAAGAAGCAATTTACCTTGGATTTTGTGTAGACGATGTGAACGCAGTTATAGATGACAATTGCTAGAAAGCTGTAGAAGCGAAAGGCCACCTCAGTCTTCTCTTGCTTTAAATCACCCTGCAGCCATCTGTCGAAATTGCGCAGGTAAGCGTTCAAATTGTCCGCGATGCAAAATCGCCGCTGATGGTCTGTTGCGCAATTATCGTAATGCTTGCCAACCGCAGATATGAAAACACAGAGCGGCTCCTTCGCTTGCAACAGCTCGTCGGCATTCAAGTCATCGGTCATCATTCTGAACTCATTTAGCTGCACCACGATTCGCGTCAATTGCGCAACATCCTCATTGACAGCAGTCAACTGCACCAGACTCTTCAGCCACGCATGTATCACCACATTTGACTCGACCAACGCGGAACGCTCTGTTTGCAATACCTTGCGCAAAAACTGTGGCAGCGCCTGTCGACACGCCACAGGCGCATCGATGAAGTAGGTGAATAGTTTTTGGAACGTTGGCGTATCCGGCACTGTGCAAGCGTGTGAGCAGAAGTCCGCCGCGAGTTGTGGCAGCCACTGACTGTAGCCGCTGGCGAACTGCTGTTTCACAAATGGCAACACATGCGCATTGAGTGCCCTGAAGAGCTCTGAGTTGGACTCGATAAGAGCCTCATTGCGCTGCAACTTGCCGAATATGAGGTGGAGCGCCTCCAGACTGCGGTCCTGCTCTGCGGGTGTGCAGGTTTGCAAAAAATTCGGCAGCCATGCGTCGATGAGCAAGTGCTCGCCACGCCGAAAGTCATCCGCCTGCATGAAGATGTCCAGCAGCGCCTCAGCTAGAACTTTGGAGACACTCAAATCACAATTTATAGCTGCGAGTTGCTGCAGAATCTTGGACACATAGTCACCAATTTCACAACGCCGTTCGGCATAAAGAATTAGTAACGCCATGTGCCCTTTAGTGACTGCAATTTGGCGGCCAGCTGGTATTTTGTCCAAAGCAATGGAAAGCAATTTAGTACTCAATTTCGGAGCCAGCTCTTCGAAGTCTCCACAGAGCGCCAACGCCAAAAACAACTCAATTATGTGGTGTATGCCCGTCTCGTTTAACGCGAGAAACTTTTGCGCGCTGAATTTAGTGTAGATACGCCCTAGCAGCTTCTGCGCTTGATGTCGCGTCGAAGTCGTTTCTAACAGACGACGCAGGTTTTTGCCCAAAAGCAAAATAAAAAGCGTATAACTGCTTAAGTTGGCATCAGAAGTGAAATCCTCTTGCGTCAATAGCGCACGATAACGTTCCACATAGGCTTTACCGCTGGCGCAAGCCACAGCCAAGATGCTCGGCGCGGAACCGGCAGCGTAGAAGGAAGCATTGAGTCGTTTATGAAAGTGTTCCCACAACAGTATAGGTATGCCAACGCGAGCACGCCACCAATGCAGTAGTGTTGGCGTTAGTAGGCAAATAAACACACGGGTCTGCTCCTCGCTTGGGTTACCGTTGAAAAATTGCTGTGTGCACTGCTCCAGGGTTTCCCAATTCTCTGCTGTGTCAGCCATGGCACGCTCATGGGACGGACCAACAAACTGACCATTGGAACGATATCCAAAAAGTCGCACCAGTGCGCGCTGCAGCCAGTTAGTAAATTCGGCTAGAGTCAATGTTGTCAGGGAGAATTTATCTGATAAAGAATAGAGGGGTATTAGTTAAATACATATAACATCAAAGTAATGGCAGTCTCACCCATTCGTGTTTTGAGTTTCGACATTGTTTCGTTGAATAGCTGCCAAAAAGTGAGCTGTTCACCAGCCACTGCAAGTGGTGTAAGCGCCCACTTCTGCAACGCGAGCTGCACATATAACCAGCACTCTTTTATGCATGTGCAGGGAAAGGGTGAGCTATACAGTAGTTCAGCAGGCCGCTTATTTGCATACAAACACAAAGAACAAACCACCAGGTCATCAAAAAGACGTTCCAACTGGCTCATTAAAGTACCACCGTGCGTGACCTTGCCATCTATCCGCGCCGTTTGTGTGCACAATTGAAATTTGTACAGAATACACAAGTCCAACAACTTCCATTCGAGCGCACCGTGTAACATGTGATAGGCGGCTGCATTGCATTCATTTCCTTTACAGCTGTTTGCGAAATAAATTAGCTTCCAAGTGTCTAGTTCAGTGGTGCGATTCAGTAGCCGCCTCATGCTGTCCATATTAGGACGCAGTAGTGTCCATTGCTCTTCAGTAGTGCAGTGCAATAGCATATAAAGAAAATGTGTTACCTGTTGCCTGCGCGTGTAGTAACCTATAGTTTCATTTGTGTTGAGTGGTTGTCGTACACTAGCCCATAGATGTTGAACGTGCATGCTGAAATGCGTAAGAAAATTTTTAAGTTGTGCCACAATAGCTTGTACCATTGAAAATAAAAATTGGATTACTTACCAAGCTGTGCCGAATAAGAACTGCATACTGCCATGCACACGCAGTGCCTTCACACCAAATTCGAATTCAGTAATGGTTAGTTCTTCGATTGCTGGTCGCCAGGCAGCTTCAGGATATGTCAACATAAAGCCACATTTTACAAATCCCTCGTTGGCGAATTGAGAATGTGTAGAGTCCTCGCCGCTGCACTGCAACTCGGGCAGCACGGTGTCTTCGATTGTCCCATCTAATGCTTGTGTTGGCTTTGGTACTGATAGGTGGTCTTGAGTAGCTTCTATACAAGCTGTACTTAATAATTCATCGTCTTCGTCCAAATTAAATAGTTCAAAATCCATGAGTTCTATTAAAAAAAATGGAAATTGCAAGGAGTTTGGCAAAAAAAATACGCAGCAAAAACGAAAACGTAAATATTTACGTCTGCAAAATTTGGCGCTAAATGGAGTACGTTCAATGTTTGCTATTCGTGACATAACTATTGGGCAAGGATGATTAGCTTTGTTTCTTAACAGATAATTATCAACGCCAAAGTTAACGCACACAGAAAGATGGGCATCTCTAATCTTTTAACGCGCGTTGTCAATCAGCTGTTGCAAATAAATAAAATTATGTAAAATATTTTTAATTTTTAATCAAGTCTGGGCAAGAAATATAATTTTTCTTGCAATTATTGATTTCAAATATTAATTTATCTGTCGTTAGTATGTTAATTTAGTGGTCAAAGCATTCGCTGCCAAGCGTTCATTGTAGCAAGCATACTTTTAACGTGCGCTCTGTCAAACCAACGCCAGCGCGAAAGTTCTATAGGCTCGTTTACATATAACTTTGGCGTCGCTTCGACAGCTGACTATGAATACATGCATTTATATGAAAGTCTCCACATAACCAAAGTTGGGCAACGCCAACGCCAACACAACGCAGAAAGATGGCCAACTCGCAAGTTTTCGCGCGCATCGCTCGTCAGCTGTTCCAAATAATCAAAATTATGTGATTTAATTTTCCTTTTTAATCAAATGCGGACAAGAAATATGGTTTTTAATGCAATTATTGATATACAATTTTGATTTATCTGCCGCTAGTGTGTTAATTTAGTGACCAAAGTATTCTCTGCTAAGCGTTCATTGTAGCAAGCACGGGCGTTACTCGCGCTGCTGTCAAAGCGACGCCAGCGCAAACGCAACCCCAAAGTTGTATGTGGACGGGCCTTATGTGGACCGGCCTTTAGCATCGGGTTTCGATACGAGTATTTGTTTTTCGATACCTACCCAGTACTTGGTTCAAAAGTATCGATACAAAAATTACTTGGTATCGAACGAAAAGTATCGAGTATGTACTTGTATTTACCTGTATTGTTTCATCTGTAGTGGCGGCCATTGCAACGTTTTGCCAAAGGAATTTAGTAAAATAAAAACTTCCACGCTTTCACGTAATTAAACTAACATCAAAATGTCAAAAGCACATCCACCAGAGTTGAAGAAGTGAGTAGAATTTACTTCAATTAAAAACTTATTTATGGTACTATCACGTGCACTGATTATTTACCGGCACAGGTACATGGACAAACGAATGCTGCTGAAACTGAACGGAGGACGCTCTGTTGCTGGTATTTTGCGTGGTTTCGATCCGTTCATGAATGTAGTGCTGGACGAAACTGTGGAAGAGTGTAAAGATAGCACGCGCAACAACATTGGCATGGTGGTAGGTGTTGATTTTGAGTTGAAGAATGCGAAAATATAATGCACTTTACTTCATTCAGGTAATTCGTGGTAACAGCATTGTTATGGTAGAGGCGCTCGATCGAGTATAATACAATTAAGGAAGTCGCCTAGTTTGACGTCTTAATTGGTATATATGTATGAAGTAATAAAATTTAATATAAGGTGAAAACATAAATAATTGTGTGTTTTAGGGGTAAGGAAAAACATGGATATATTATCTGCAGTTTTTTGCAAAAATAAGGTTGCTACATAAAAATCCAGTTCAGATTTAACTGTCATCGATGATGTTAATGCTGACCTTATATATCGCTCGTCAGAAGAATTAACTATTGGATTTTAAAGCTAAAATTGCAACCAGAGGTGATAATTAAGTCTGAAATGGGGTCTAGTATCAGAAAGTTTTTGAACCCAGGTTGTGGAGTGGAAGCGCGCACTGCTTACCACTACACCACAGCGTATTGAATATCGTTAGCTTAATTCACAAAAGACCTAATATAACCAACGATTTTTTTTATTTCACCGGAGAAACAAAAAACATTGTAAAAACAGTAACAAAGACAGGTAGGGCATTTTAAAAAGTGGCATGTAACTTCGATGTTTTTGGTACTAATACAATTTTTATTGACGGTGTATATTAATACACCCTACCAAAATCTGAAATACGCAGTTTCGAAAAATGTGTTGCGAATTAAGGTAGCGATATAAACTCGGGAATTAACTGCCGTTGATTCGGATTAAGTCTGGGTTAATCCGGATCAACGCTGCCGTCTGTTTAAGCTTTAAGACGTCGATATCGGGGTTGCAATTTTAATTTCGAAATTCAGTAGTTAATTCTTCTGACGAGCGTTATACAAGGCCCTCATTAACATCATTGATGACAGTAGTTTAAGGTAGATTTTTTTGTTGGAATCTACTTTTGTGAAAACTGCAGATAGATCGTTTTGAATATAAGCCCTCGATATATTATCACTGGCGCCATAAGGGGTGGGTGTATTCGAGGTACAACAAATGCGGCAGTGTCACTCTTTATGAAAGAGCATTTCGTTCTATTCGAAAATTTAGACCCTGTTTAGATCACACACTCGGCAACAAGGCTAAAACAATGGTAGTTATTGGCGGCTACCACATAATCCATCGTCGTCCGATCTTCGTGAAATCAACGAAAACTCGATCACTGAATCCGAATTGCTACGAACGTGTATTTAAAGTATACGTTACGTCCGTAGCTATTCGAATTCAATGATAGCATTTTCGGAGATTTCACGAAAAATCGGACTACGATGGATTCTGTGATAGCCCTGATTACGTAGCCCGAACACACCCGGTTCCTTAATATCAATACATGGTTTTTTTTTCTTTTTACTTCGAACTTATCCTAAACTAACAGTTTTAAGACGTAGTTAGATCAGCGGCGAATCGCATAGTGATCGAACTGCATTATGCAGCCAAGATTTTCCATTTCCTATATCGCACACCGTCTTCCAAGTCACAACTCAAATTAATACGTTTGTCAGAAAATGCGAAAAACTTTTTCTTAGCACATGATAATCATATGGGCAAGGGCGACTATACCTTAGGTGTTTTTTTAACAATTTATAACAAACATTTGCTCCAGCTTTTGCTAAAAGATGAATAAAAGCTCCGAGTACATTTTTAGCGCATAATCTCAAAATGCCAAATTTTGAGTTGTTACTCCTTTGAAGACGGTGTGTGATATTTCTGCACATTGTGACTATTTAAATTCATATATACCCGTTAAGGCCAAACTGATTGAACAGTGTAAAAAAAAATTGTTTTTTTTCCTTCTTTTTTATTCAGGTAAACAAAGGGTTTTATAAGTGGTCGCACATTTGTTTTGCAAGCCCACCCTTCATTTCACTACTCCATTTTATATTTATTTTTTCATTAAATTACTTGGAAATAACGATAGGTCCCGTCTGTTTCGCCGCATCGCGCTGCTTGCTCACGATTTGATTGGCAATACGATCCAAGTCACGCTGACCAATTGATGTCAGTTTGCGACCACCATCGGGGTGCTTCTCGATAAGGCGGGCATGCTCCAATGATTGCAAAGCCTTGCGTGCGGCACCATCAGCGGCGCGGCAAAAGTGAGATGGGTGTACACCATTGCGTTTGCGACCACCGTAGATTTTCGTAATGGAACCAACGCCAGCTGGGCTGCGGTGGTACAAGTGACGCAAGATTGATGCGCAACGAATGTAGAACCAGTCGGGATCCGACGGAGCCAATTCCTTGTATTTGGCGGTCTTGATGATGTCCATTTGATCGGGCACCTTCAATTTGCCAGTCCTATTAAAAGGTGAAAACAAAACAAATAAATTGAGGTTACTTGTTTTTAGATGAATATAAAATGAATACTTACTTCTTCAAGAAGACGGCTACAGCCTTTACAACGGCATGTTGATCAATATCCTTTACAGTGACGCCGGGCATCTGTTTAAAGAAAAAAACACACAAACATTAAATAATCACGTTTTATACACATTTGCTACTGATACGCGTCGACTGCACTACTCAGTGAAAATTCACGTTGTTCGGATTACATTAGCTATACAAAGCCACTCGTTTTAAAGAGTTATGCAAATTAAAGGCACTGGTATATATTACAATGAAGTAATGCACTCATAAACAGTTAAATCTTATAATATTTTGGCGACTTCACGTCGACATTACCTTGCGTGACAAAGTTAACCGGAAGAAAGGACATTTTGAGTTAACTTGGCTGCGTTTAAACAGTGACAACTAAATTTGACAGTCCACTGTGAATGGATTTTCTTCCGACAGAGAACGTAAATTTACGTTCTCGGCTTCCGAATTTGTACCTTTTGTCAAAATGATGTGTTTGATCATGAACCAAAAATACAAGATCACGTAAGAACGCGACGTTGTATTTGTAACTGGTTTTGAGAAAAAAGTTTGCGAAAGCGGGTTCGTCAGCTGAGCGTTTGTTTACATCACAAGCATTACTATTTTACACTTTTATTCAAGTAAAGAAGAGTTAATTCACATTTTAAAGCATTTTGTTGCATCATTTTACCCATGATAAAAACATTATGTTTTTATCATGATTTTACCTAAATTGTGCGTTTAAAGTGGCTGACAATAATTTTGGCTAATTTTGGTTTTCGTTGTTTTCTTCGCTTTGTTTACTTTTCGCTCGTTTTCCAGTGAAACAAGATGGCGTAGAACCCGCTAAAAAAATCTACTTTTTTTACTCTCTTGTTCTTACGTGATCTTGTGTCTTTCGTTCATGGTGTTTGATGTAATCAAGGCGAATTTATACAAGGTGGTGTTGATGGGGAATTTAGATTTTCGCCGCGGTACTTCTTAATGTCAAAATGACATGATGCAATAATACAAGGTGTTATCAGTTGGCAACTTCTCGCTCTAATTCCGCCATATTGACTACCTTACGTGAAACAGTGTTACTTCTTTCACTATTCTTTGCCCATTAATATAGTTGAATGCTTTTTATTTTTTCTCAGTATACATACTTTGTTTTCTTAAAAAGGTATTTTATCTTATTTTATTTCATTTCATAACGAATATACTATAAAAAAGCAAATTTTGTTAAGGAGAAAATGTGAAATTTTATATTTTTCCCCCATATGGGGATTCATTTCTTCCCGTTTTTCTTCTCATTCTACTGAGCTAAGGTAGTGTCAAATCGAGCTGTCACAACTGATACCACCTTGTATTATTGCATCATGTCAAAATGATGTGTTTGTTATAATATGAATTCGCCTTGTTTACAACAAACACAACATTTTGACATTAGGAAGTACCGCGGCGAAAATCTAAATTTGCCATCAACACCACCTTGTATAAATTCGCCTTGGTCAAAATAGTGTGTTTGTTGTAATATGAATTCGGCTTGTTTACAACAAACATCATTTTGACATTAATAAGTTCCGCGGCGAAAATCTAAATTCGCCTTGACCACCTTGTATAAATTCGCCTTTTATGCCTTGGTTATAATAGATGGGGCAAGGCGAATTTATACAAGGTGGTGTTGGTGGCGAATTTAGATTTTCGCCGAGGTACGTCTTACCGCCCTATTCCAGAGAACGTATAGTTATGAGAAGATGCAAATTTTTGTATCGTAAAA